TCAGGAGTGTAACGACTTGTACATTGGTGAAACTAAGCAGCCGCTTCACAAATGCATGGCCCAACACAGGAGGGCCAACTCCAGTGGACCAGAGTCAACAGTCCACCTTCACCTGAAGGACAAAGGACATTCTTTTGAGGACAGTAAAGTCCAGATTAGTGTTGTCACGATACCAACATTTTGGTACCGGTACCGGTACCAAAATGTATTTCGATACTTTCGATACTTTTGGATAGTTTTTCAGACAAAAAGAGAAGGCAAAAAATGTCATTACTGACTTTATTTTAATAGAAAATCTTAGAATAACATCAAAATAAAATTCAAAATACTAGGCTTTTCTTATTGCACTCAAAAAAAATTTTTTTTTAGAACAGTCAGTGTGAGTAAATAAAAAGTATGAAGTTAGAAGTTCTAACTTAGAAAAAAATATTTTCATTACATATAGCCTGTCTTAAGTAGGACCAGTGTTTTTAAATGGTATGTTACCAGTCTTTATAACATATTAAATGGCTAAATATGTATGTAAAACACTGAACGACTGTGCTGTAACCACATTTAACGTTTTGAAAAAACACATTTTTTTATTAAAATTTAGAAAAAAAAATTCTATGTTTGATAAGAACTCTTTATCATGTGTTGCACACTTAAAACTATTGAACTATTGCATTTGAAAAGGGCACATGTCATGAGTAAATTACCTGTCGTTCCCTGAACTCAGTGTGCAGGTCTGGGTGTTTCCGCCCTTAGCCATGCATGTTTTAAAACATCGTTTACACAATGGCGCATCAACGTTAATTGCCTCTCCTTGCTCATTTGTTTTTATGCCGAAGTACTGCCATATAGCACTTCGCGCCCCTCGTTTGTCCACAAGTTGCGGGGTGGTGACTGTTACAGCAGCCATTCTCCTCTCCGTGCTCCTCTCTCTCGCTCTCTCGCTCTATCCCTCTCCAACGTCTCTGCTATCTCCAAGCTTTCCTCCTGCTCCGTTTGTTGCTCCAGTCCACGCTGCTCAGTGAGCAGAGGACGAGGAAGCTGTTTCCTGCTCTGTTTTCCTCTGTTGCGGGCGGGCGCTGCGGGCGGGCACCGCCGGCGGCGCTGCAAGTACCGGTACCGTCCAAATGCAGTATAGTACCATTTTAAATGCCTCAGTACCGCGGTACCATACTAGTACCGGTATATCGTGCAACACTAGTCCAGATCCTCTCCAGAGGACATCACTGATTTGAGAGAGGAGTCAAGGAAGCTTTTTTTGTTCAAATAGAACACCCCTCACTAAATAGGGGTGGTGGACTAAGACACAACTTGTCATCCATCTACAATCCTGTTTCGAGATCTCTGCCCAAACATGCCCACCAGAACAATAGACATCGGTCCATAGGGGAGGATTCAAAGACAGGTAACGACTCTCACGATACTGGGCTATAATGAGTCAGTCGCTAGGGGACATTGTTGGGCATCAAAGGACTGAAACACCACAGATGGGGATAAATATCTCTGACTCAACGCCAGTCGGGCAGAACTGATGAAGCCTCTTGGATGAGAGGTGAAACGTCTTTGACCTAGAAATCTAGTCCAGTTTATTTTTCTAAGTTTTTCAGCTTACTATGACCTGGATGACTGAGAATCTGCACAGACGTTTAATACCAACTTGACTTTCACTTTGGGTCCCACTTATCAGAAGTCATTTCTGTTGTGGCTCATTGGATCTTTTATCCATGTGCTGTGTTGCTAAGGAAATGCTATAAAACCATTTCAAAGTGGCCCACTGTACATTTCACTTATTTCAAAAGGCTTGTCATGAAGGCCTTTATTGTGTAGTCTGATGTGGCACTTGTTGAATTTAAGCAACTGAGCATTTTGAACATTGAGTTCAATTCAAAATGTCTTTAAAAACATCTCTTATTCAAGTCAGATTCCACACATCTCATCAGTGCCTATAGCTCACAGGAATGGACATCCCACTGAAATACCTCACACTCAAATGGCCTGGGAACAGAGACAGGCCCTTGTGTAGTGAGAGATTACTTGGGACTTTACAAGGCAGAAATGTCAATATCACCCCCATCAATTTCCAGGCAGAAGGCACATCAAAGTTCAGCGCTCACAGGAATGTGTTGCCTGTAAAACCTGCTGGCAAAAAGGTGAGGCTGAACAAGGTCCACTACAGCTGCGCCCAAAGTGGAGAAATCTCACTGAGGCATCAAATTAGACTCAACTACGGTATTGATTTTGCACATGATAATAAGTGATCAAGCCACCAAATTCACTCAGACACTGCCAGCTGAAAGTGCTTCTCTACAAATTCCTTATATTAGCTAATGCATTTTAAATCTAGTGGCAGGATTCAACATGAACCATGGACCGAATCTCATGGTCACAAAATGTTACTGTGTGGCCACCATATATACCCAGCAGGTGGCCCACTGCGGCCAGAAAGATTGATCAGATCTCTACTGAAAATGAGAGACCAAGATTCAGACCCCCAGCACTTCACGAACACAATGTCAACAATACAAAAACATCCCGATTCATTTGCACCTTTTACTTCAACATTCTACGAAAACAGTGAACTGTTGGTTGCTTGTCAGCAGCTAGCTGTCGGGGCTGCTGAAGTACGGGTTTGTGAAGCCTAGTCAAACTTCTAACTCTATCGCTACAGAAGAAACCGAAACACAAAACATGAAAAAAAATGGCTAAAAAAATTTTAGGAGTGAATGGAAGAAGAATTTCATGTGGCTAGAATATAACACATCTAACGATGCACTGTGGTGTAGGCTGCACATGAGTAATGCAGGGACAATGCTGGGAGGGAGAGACTGGGTATCAGGCACAGGAATGCATGGAGAGGGTGCAAAAAAAAGAAACAGACAGAGGATATGTGCCATATGCATTCAAAGAACCTATCAATTTAAATAATTATAAAACTATATTAATTCTGCCCATGTATTCTGACAAAGAAGGCTACAGTTGGAAATGTGTGTCAGGTTTTCAACTGCTTTTTGTATGTTGCTATTGCAGACATGACTGACTCAGGCACAATGGTGGGAGGGAGGGAGGGAGCAAGCAGGCAGAGACATGGAGGAGGGGGCTGCAAAAAAGACTGAACTAAGAAAGAATATACTGTATGTATGTTTACAAATGAACAAGTTTTCATTTTAAACAAATAGTTACACATTTTCATTCGGTTAGCGCGTTTTCATTTATTGAAGTGAAGTTAAGGAAGGTTGTGTTAAATTGCCTTTTCTGCATTGTTTTTACAGTTGGACCACCAAAAACGTGCCCTGGCTAGCAAAGTGGCTTGGTGGCCCATGGGGCCAATGCTTAACAATGTTAGCATCTACCCCTGTAGCGGGACCTAAAAGAGAACAAAATCCCTGATTGTGACTACACATTTAGTGAAGCCAAATGTAACCATCATCAACACAAGAGGCTCGTATTGATAACATGTCTTCCAGAAACCATTTTGGGTCTACTGTATGATGATGTTCTGTAGGTGTAGAATACGGTTTATATTAAGAATAGTGATGATGTAAATAATGAAAAATCCTTTGCTCAATATAGCCAAGCAAGTCCCCTTGAAAAGCCAACCACTTTGTTGCCACTGTTCAAGTCTTTTCTCTTGTAAAAGTAGACCATGATATTTGCAAACACTTCTAATCGTACAATCTCACCTTTAGGTGACCTAGTGGATTTTCTACTGTAATGCGCACTGGCTGACTGGGGGAAAAAAAACAACTTTCGACCGGAAGAGTCTCAGTCGACTGTGAGATCTCTCAACTGATGATTTAACTTGCGACTTTCAGGTGGCAGCACTAATTGTATGGTAATATTCTGTAGGTGCAGAATACAGTTAATATGAAGAATACTGACAATGTAAATAATAATAAGTCCTTTGTTCAATATAGCTCCAAACCTTTTAGTCTTATGACTGACTAACAACTACAGCAGCAGAGGCAGGTCTTGCATTACAGAACTGCAGACATTAGCCACAGAAAGGTTTTGGAGGCTTTCAACACACAGTAGCTTGATGCAATTTGAGGAAGTGTCATCACTTTTGGTATGTCTTAGGCAATGCTTCTAGCATCCATTCCCAGGAGACAAATAAACTAAGATGAAATAATTCTGACTAAAAGTCAGTATCACAGTGAGTCTGAGACAAAATAGTACAGAAAGATTTAAAAAGCATACTTAGTATGTGCATATAGCTCTAAATGTTTACATTTCAACAGAGTCAAAAGAGCCTGCAGGATCATCACCTGGAGCAGGTATTGATTTCAGTGTCTTCTTCAAGGATTTTCTCTGACCACCAACAACCTGAGATTTTTAAACTGTGTTACTCACTTCTACATTTATACTATTCTCAGTGTCCAACAGCAAAACAATGTTAAGGAATACTATCAATCTGTACATATGAGGTCAACAGATGAAATATTCAGAACAGTCTCCATCATTTTGTATTGTGTGCTCGTTCCCAAAGTGCAGAATTTTGTCTTATGTCTATTAAAATTTGTCCATTTACTTCAGCCCATCATCTTTTTCACTTTATAACAAATAAAAATCACTGATATGCTATGACATTATGAGCATAGTACTTTCAACCACACATTTTCAAATTCCAGCTTTATTCCTGTACTTCTCTGGTCTTGTCACACTTAATTTCACCTTGTAGGAACCTTAAAGAGCATCTTATCATATCCTTTCTCTATAGGCATACACATTATGAGGAGGAGCTCTGCTTTATACAAAATCTATATGCAAAATAATCAGACAAAGTACAGGATGTGCTTCCACTACTGGGCTGTATTGTGGAAAGCCCCTATATAACTGAAAATGTAACCATGTTTTGTGCCAGGTTACTGAAAAGCAGGCAAAAGGTGAATATAAACAGGCTAAATACATGAGAGCAGGGGGTTTACCCTGCAATAATAAACACCCCATGTGCAGTGGAGATGTGCAGGCTAACGCGCCACAGTGAACAACACTTTCGCTTCAATCTTTACCTTGATAATGCTGCTCCTGCGTGGTATTTCTGATTTGGTGTCCAAATCGTTGGCGGTTTCCACCCCGGTTTGGCTGCCAGGTGCGACGAGGGATCCGGAACCGACCATATTTTCAGATATTCCACAGTCTCCATTCAAGACCGACACCTCACAATGTGTCTTGTCAGCAGCCTCGTCGCTGGGCACGGCCGTATCCCCAACATTCAATGGAGGCAGGCTGCCGTCCTCCCCAAACTCCGCCATAGGCACTTCCAGCATACACACCGACACACAAGCTGTTGGGTAGCAAAGCCTTGCGTTTCAGCTCTACTCCAATTTCCTGCCCGGTCTATTGCCTCGTTGTAACATTTGAGCAAATTTCTGCCATATCATCTAGCGGTGTACATATCTGTCAGGTTCCTACAGACGGTGGAGCTCCCTCCGTGCATTGTGCTCTGTGAAAAGAAACCACGGCGATTAGCGTAATTCGGAAACATGGAATTGTTAAAAGCAGCAACGTATTCGGCTTTGTGCAGCCATGAGGTCATATTTGCTTGCACTGAAAGCGGACGTTAACCTACGCTCAGTGAACGGTGTCATCGTAAACGCAGCATAAGAGGCACACAACGGACGTGCTTCCCTTTATGTACGGGCTTCTCCCTCTTCAGCAAGTTAGCCTCAATGCAACTTATCAATAACCCATCCTCTTCAGATTAACGTTAACTTAGTTAAATAAAACCATAAAGTTCTCAGTATATGATTAGTACAATGCAACGTACGGTAGCTTTACAGTACTAACGTTATATACTTGCCATTTGAAATGCGTTGTCCCTCCATAGAACGAACGGTCTTCCAGCTGAGAGGAGCCAGGATACCGTTTGTACCGCTGAGCTTTGCTAGTTAGCCTAGCTAGCTGGGTGAAGTTAGTTTTCACAACCAACTCAAAGTCCAGTCAGTACGAACACTGCTGTTCGCCCGGTTAGCAGACAAAGGAAAATGCTTTCTCCGCCGCCAGTCAGTCCTTATTCCGTTTAAGGTATAAAAAAAAAAAAAAAAGAAGAAGAAGAAGTGCCTCTAACGTGTATGGGGCTGCATCTGCATCTTGGTATACACGCACAGCAGAAGTCGTTTCCAGGGGCAAAAGTTGTGTATGTCTCGTGAACAAGCGACAGGCAAAACAGGCTTTGCTGTCAATCAAACCCTAATTGTTTTCTCACCGACACCGGGGACCGCCCCCTTTTCACGTTTCTGCACTGTACACACACACCTGCCACAGTGGCAAACGCACACAGAGCCATTGGTAGAAGTATTCAGATCAAGTAGAAAATGAAATACCAGTGTAAAAATGCTATGGTTCAAATATAATACCTGCATTCAAAATTTTACTTAATGTTGCAACTGATAAGCTAATGTTACCTATATTTGTTGAATTACTGAAGCTTGTGTGAATTTCCCCACAATGATCAGCTGTTTTATGAATATACTGTATTTTGTTTTAATAAATGACATTCAGCAAGAAAAGACACATAAGAGCAGAAAAGACAAACGTAAACATGGAAATAAACTGCACAAAAGTCAAAGAAAATACATAAAACACAAAAATCTATCAAAAAAGGCCTACAAAACACAGTTCGAATAGAAAATATATAAAACACAAAATTAACAATAAAATAGAATTGTATAAAATGCAAACTTATTTTTTATGTCTCTTTATTTGAAATATCTCCGAACACGTCCCACAAATGATGGTAATAATAGTAACAGTCTACTACTACACTGTGTGCACAATTATTAGGCAAGTTGTATTTTTGAGGATTAATTTTGTTATTGCACAACTACAGTGCTCTTGGTCAATCCAAAATGTTAACAAACCCTCAAACCTGAACATTTAAGTAGTAAAAGTGAAGTTTTGGCTTTCTTAAGAGAATATCTACATGTACACCATTATTAGCCAACTATTAGTGTGCAGAATTATCATGCAACTAAATAAAAAACAAAGATTTTCCCCATCTCACTTATTTATTTTCACCTGTTAAAGTGAGAATAATAAACTCATAATTTACAAATAAACTCCATAAATTCCAAACAGAAAACCTCAGTGACCAATATAGCCACCCTTCTTTTCGATAACAGTCACAAGCCTTCCATTCACAGAGTCAGTCAGTTTTTTGATCTGGTCAGAATCAACCTTTTGTGCAGCCGCAACCACAGCCTCCCAGAGACTGTTCAGAGAGGTGTACTGTTTACCTTCACTGTAAAGTTCCTGCTTTTATTAGTGTGCAGAATTATTATGCAACTAAATAAAAAACAAAGATTTTCCCCATCTCACTTATTTATTTTCACCTGTTAAAGTGAGAATAATAAACTCATAATTTACAAATAAACTCCATTGAAATTCCAAACAGAAAACCTCAGTGACCAATATAGCCACCCTTCTTTTCGATAACAG